TGGGGAATTCTGGGAGTTGAAGTCCACCCGTCTTAAAGTTGCCAAGGTTGAGCAACACTGGATTAGGCAAAAGCAGAGAAAGGGAGGAGGGTTATAAATAAAAGCCACTGCTGTCCGAGCCCCCCCTAAAACTCCACGCAGGAGGCCATTCCCTCCAGAATTCTCTCACCTGCAAGCAGTCCCAGTGTGTGGAAAGTCCTTTAACTGGGTTTCCAGTGTCAACGTGTTTCCTGTGAAAGAAACAGTGGGGTTGACTTTCCATTCAGATCTGTTCTGTTGACGTTGCTGCAGCTTCAACGTGGACCCTCCATTCTTATTGTTGATTCGGGAGACTGTTCTCCCTCGGTTCCTTCCTATGAATCAGGGCATAATTCAGCATTTCTCAGTTGTAGCAACGTTAAGGTGTCTGGACTTCAACTCCCAGAATTCCCCAGCCAGCATGCCGCAAAGTCCAGCCACCTTAAAGTTGCTAAGGTTGAGAAACACTAGTGTAATTGAAGAGGTCCTCTGGAACCGGTGGTCAAGACGAGAAGGGGAAGAAATAGACGCTTGAGCAGGGCTACAAACAGAGTTTTCCAGTTTTTCCAACAAGCCTTTTTTCTTCCTTCTTTGTGGGACAACTCTAAATTGCTCGGCAGGAAACCAGACTGCTCATTTCGGGCAGACCTAGGTAGAGAAACGTCTGCAGCCTCCTTCCTTTAAATTTTAGCCACCCAGGTCCCCGGATTTTAAATCCAAACCGGGCTTTTGTGCTTGAGCCCTGTATGGTGATTGCGGGAACTCAGTCTGCAGTATTTAGGACTGCCACAACCGTTTGCAGAATGTCAGGTTCAATTTCTGGATGCATTTTTGAAATTGACACACCGCCTCAGTCCTCGGTGATTTGGCGACGCCTTGAAAATCACTGCTCGGCAATCAAAGCAAGTGCAAAAAAAAAAGTCATTCGGCTGTGCGTTCTTTTTTCTGGGACCTTCCTTTGCATCGGAAGCCGCTTTGTCGCTGACGTGGCCTTTGGGGGTCAGGTTGATCACATCAAAATGTTGTCCTTGACGGCTGGGGGTCTTTGCAGCTTTTTAAAAAATCCCCGAGTATCACACGCTTTTCAACCCTAAACTGAACATGGTTCTAAAGATGCAGTTTGATACCTGCAAGGGGGCAGATAATGCCATGTTAGCGAGCTGTGAGGACTGCAAACAGCCGCCCACCGCAAGGGCTACAGAAATGTTAACATTGCAGGAAGAGTGCCATGTACGTTCTCTGGAGTCTACAGAAGTTGGTGCTCCTCATCCGAGGCGTTGTGGGAGAGGAGCCACGTTCGTTCGGGGGCAGCAAAAATCGGGAGGGGTTTCTGGCGGCACCTTTTCCAGCAAAGAAATTTTATTGAGAAGCCTAAGCTTTCAGGGTGACCTTTTCGGACAAAGCTTTTCTGATGAAGTGAGCTGCAACTCACAAAAGCTTGTGCCTTTGAATAAAGTTAGGGCTACCAGACTCCTCCTGATTTTTTTTGCTAAACAGTTGTAAAGAAGCCTTATTAACGAGGCTGTTCAGATGTGTATAAAGTGCACTGCATTTTTTTTTGCCCAGGGTGCCTTAATTGTGCGGGTGTGTGGAAGTGAGGGGCTGACGTTTGCAATAGAAAGTGAGTCGGTGGGAAACCTGGAATGTCGCTGCTTATCCAGCTGGTGCTTCCACAGAGACTGTCTTCCTCCTCCTGATCCTCACTTCTAGGGTCAGGGGGAAGAGGAAGAATCCTGCACGAAGTCCTGGGAGGACCCAGATCCAGGCACTCTGATGTGCTTTTCGGCTCAAAAACTAGGCACCCAGCGATGCCACCACATTGTAGAGTGAAGGCTTAGAGCAGCCCACACAGCGACAACCTGACCCAGGCTAGGGAGGTGTCACCTCTGTTGCGAAATTCGCCCCCAGGACCAGCCAGGAGTCAGCTACGAGGGCTGCCTCCCCGCCACAAGTGCTGGGACGTAGGTCAACCGTCAACCGGCGGAACGTTGCTCGGCTCAGCCAAATTCCCTGGTGTCCCATTAACGCCTGCTTTGTTTACGGCATTCGCGCTTGGTGTTTTGCAAATTAGCACGGCTGCCTCATTGCCAACTTTCATGGCTAATTGATCTTCAGGAACCTTGCTAATGATCCCAGGGGCTAAGGGAATAGGTGGGGTGGCTCGGGAGTAGCAACTCAGGAGGGCAAAATATTGTGGCTTAGACGGACGCCTTTGGTTCTGTTTATGGAGCTGCGAATGGAATTGCCATTCCCCAGATGGGAGTGGGGTGAATTTAGAGCTCTCAGTTGTTTATCAGATCAGCTATTAATTATATTTAATGTGAGTGATGGTACTTGCTATAATTATTGAGAAAACAATAATTGGATAGGGATCTTGAATATTATGGCGTACAAGAGAAAGGCAGCCTGATGCTGAGACACTTCACAAGATCAGGTCAGGTTCTTGCTATCGCTGCATTGGGGATGACGAATCCAGAAATCCATGTTGAACTGGGTGCGTCATTTACAGTATTTCCATCTCTGGATTCATCTGGTTTCTTGCAAAAGAGTGTGTCTTGACCCCAGAAGGGAACCCAAGTACTATTTCCATTTGTCCAAACTTGGCAGCTGATGCTTTGGAGTGTAAGTCCCTCTCTGCATCTCTTTAAAGCAGCCGCCTCTTTTCCCTGGATGGAACAGCTGCCCTCTATGAAATGAGGTGGTTGCTTTAAAGAGTTGCAGATGGGCTGCATTCCACCCCCCACATGCAGCAAAGCACCCTTGGGGAACAGACTCCAAACCATTGCAGCATCTTTGTCACCAAAGTATTCAAGGGAAACTTCATGTTCTTCTTTTCAGCCCGTTTCTTGTGCTTCCACACTTGGTTGATATGCAGGGGATCTAGTGGGGGGATTTCTTTCTTGATTCCCCCCAAATGAATGAGAAATCCAATGGTTTGCAAGTTTGTTCTCTGTCCTTGAGATGAAAACTGAGTTTCAGAGCTTTTTGTGGCAAGAGGAAACCAAACTGCCACGTGATCAAGCTCCTTGGGAATCTCTTGGTCCTCTGACTTCTCTGCTGCCTCGGTGCAGGAGTGAATTGGGAAAACACGATGAATGTGGGTATGGGGCGTTTCAGCTTTCTGAAACGTGACTATGCACCTAGTAGTAGTATCTTAGTGTAACTTTTGACCTAAGGTGGTCAGCCTTTTTGTGGGTGGTGTACAACCCCAGCCCAGCCGCTCTGATTAATTTATGGTTCAGTGTATTGCATGAATGCAGCAGATTTGGTAACCAAGTTAATTTAAGCGTATTATGAGAACACAGCAAGCAAGCCCCTTTTTCTTCTCCTGCTGAGCTTTCGGACCGGCTCCTTTATGCAATGCCCCTTTCAATCTGAAGTGTGTAGGTCCTGCTGCACCCCTGGGTAGCAATCCAAATTCAAGCATCCATAACAGATGGGTGCTGGTTTCTGCTTGGCTCCCTGTAATGAAGGGAAGCCCACCAGCTCTCTGAGTCATGATTCCGGTGCTCCCCACTCTTACCCTCAAGGAATTTTTAACACTCATTTGGAAAAAGTCTTCTGAAACTTAAGTCCACGATGCCACGTCCTGCACTCTGGATGAGAGAGAAGCCTTTGGCTGCTGACCTCCTCGCTGCGTTGGAAGAGAGCTCCCTCAATCCCTCCTTGCCCTTCCCTACTTTGGACCCACTCCACCCTCCTTAAAAGGTGCTGACCAGAAACAGACATCCTCCCTGAGGGGGAAATCAAGCCCAGGCAGAACAGAATGCAAGAATCCCTTCTTCTTTAAAAAAAGAATTAGATGCTGTTGAAGTCCACGGATCTTAGAGGCTGACCTAATAAGGTGTCTAATGTCTTATTCACCGTGTCTTTCATTCAAAGAGTTGGGGGGGGGGCTTTCTTTTAATGTCCAAGGAAAGTCGTTGCAGTCTTGGGTTCCTGCTTCCGCCTGACTGCCCCCTCTCTTTCTCTCACCCAACAGCCGCTGCTGTGACAAGAAAAGCTGTGGAAACCGCAACGAGACGCCCTCCGACCCTGTCATCATCGACAGGTAAGCGCCAACAGGACAGTTCTGAATGTTCACGTTGCAATTGTAACATGGTAGCCGGAACTTGTGGAACTGAATGCAGATTTGGTTAAACTGTTAAGTCTTAGAGAATGAGGAGGGAATCAAGGTCCAGCCCTTACGTCTGAATCTGTGCATTGGAGAAACCTGGACACCAGCCTTGCATGCCAAGTTCTTAAGTCACTTCTCAACGTCTCCAGTCAAAGAGTCTTGGTGGATGGTGCCGAAGACCTCTTTTTCTTCAGGCTGTGGAAAGACCCACAACCTAGGTCTCTTTAGGGGATCTTGGGACATGGATACACAATTTCTGGAAGTTCTCAACTTCCTACCGGATGCTAAGATTTTATCTGGTGCTCCCTGTTTTCATATATATTTCTGTTGACCCCAAAGATTGGAAAGCTGGTATGGATGTGTTCTTTGAGAGGTTCAAGCTGGCTTTTTCACAAAGGATGTTACCTTCTGCAGCAGATTCTGACTTCTATGGTTCAAGAAGACGTTGGATGTATAGAAGCTGGCTTGCTACATATTCCTCCTAGGCAGAGAAGCAGACATACATATGCCTGTCCTACGCTCTGGCTGCCTTCACACACTATGCTTCATGTGGTTACTCAACCCATTTTACTGACTTCACATCATGTACTAACCCTGCAGAAAGATCTAACCATGGTTAAAATTAACCAAGTGTAGCATGTTGTGTGAATGCAGCTGCTAAGTATCTAGCTGACCTGAGTAAGTGTATTGTGTGAACACAGCATCATGGTCAACCTTCCCCAGTCTACCACCTTCCAAATCTTGAGACAATAAGCTGGGAATTTGGGGACTGCGGCACCAACATATTTAGGGGGTGTCTTGTTGGGGGAGGCCACAGTAGAACCTTGAATACCTCCCTTCTTGCTCCTCCGTACTTCAGCCCATGTTTCCATCTTGCACAATTTGCTTCTTCCATTCCAACAGCAAGCTTGTCCTCCTCATATAGGCCTACACCCTCCCAGCAGCGCAGAAGAGAAAACTCAGAGGACCCCAAGGTTTTAGCAGCACAACTAACCCTGGCAAATTAAGAACCGTACCCCCTAAAACTGCTCAGTAAGGCTTAAGCACATTCAGTGTGGCTGCACAACCTTCAAATTCCATTCAGGAGAGGCCCTTTCACCAGACACCGCTGCTTTAATAAGTCACAGACAAAAGATCGTGGTGGACCTGCAGGTTCCACGCACTGCATGGCCATATTGCTCAGTAGTTATTGACAGTTGGATAGTGGAAACTGAAAGGGGGAGGACGTAATGGGATAAAGTGTTGTGATAGGTGGCTGGCTGGAACCCTGAACAGAACACTCTACAAAGCCACGTTGTGTTGCTAGTCCTGTTTATACCACAGAATAGAGAAGTTAAGAGGTTTGAGCAGCATCAGACAATTCAAAGATGGGACACTTTCTCTCCTAGGCACCTGGTCCTTCCAAAGATCAGAAGGAAGCACATGCTTTACAAAGAGAAGTAGCGGATGTCTCATTTTGGGAAATGCTGATGCTTCCCATGGGGGAGAGATGGCTCTCTTCTAAGTCTTGGAGATGAGCAGAGAGAAAGCACAAGTTTCTTTTCCTGCCTTGCTTTTTCTCTCGCACAATCAAAGCTCCAAGCTTTGGTTTTGTTGGGTCAGACCAAACCCTGAAGTCCAACCAGAGGTATCTTCTACCAAGTTGACTCTTTCTCTGCCCTCCAAAATGGACCATCCAAGGTCCACACCTGATCCAGAATGAATGTGGATCATTTCTTTGCAATCCGCAAAACCTGTCCCCAGGAGGTGGTCTCACCACTGTTTCCTCAGGCGTGATCTTTAGTTCTGCACTTGGCCTTCTTTAAGGGCAAAAGTCTTCCCAAGAGAAGGTGCCTTTGAACCAATGTTCAAATAAGCACACTAGAAAAGTAAAATCAAGTCCTGTTCCAGGCAAGGACACAGGTAGAGTAGGAAATTTTGTTCACAGGAACCTTTGGGTAATCAACAGAAGTGGGGCACCCCAGAACAGCTCCTGCTTCTTGTTTTGACCAGCATAGCAGCCCCAACAGCAGTGCGAATTGAAGTTCTCTTTGCAGCCCCCGTTCATATTGGCTCGGCTGGCCAGGACATTTCCATTCTTAACAGCAGAGCTTCTGGCAATGCCAGCATGGTACAGGGCCAAAATCTCAGGTACAAGATGCAGCTAGCTAGATTTCATTTAAATACAAGGAAAAGCTTTTGCATGGTAAGATCTGTTCAATGGTAGAACCTATGGAGATTGGGTGTTTGCCATTCCTGGAGGTTTTAAGACGTGGCTGGACAGCCACCTCTCATAGTAGATGATTTAACTGGTTTCCCTGCATGTTGCAGAGGGCTGGACTAGGTGATCCTTGTGGCCCCGCTCAACTCCACGACTCTACATGTTGGGAGAAGGGGATAAGGAAAATGTCTCTGGTTTGCAAGGCTGATCTATCTCCGTGTGAGAGAATGTGGGAAGCTGGTGGAGGAAGAGTTTGGGGGGGGGGGGGGGGAGAAAATGCAGCCCAGCCCAGCCCCAGATGTGGGGGCTATGGAAAGAAAATGTTCTAAGAGACTCCACCTTCATTGGCTTGCTCTGGGTCTGTTGGGGGTTTGAGTTTTACACTTTTCCAGATCAGAGTTCTACCCCAGGGTTACCATTCAAGATGCCTTTCTGAAATCCGTGTGGTTTTTGCTTCTTGGATTTGCCAGCTCCGTGGGGCCTGGCACCTGGCGAGGGCCTAATCCAGACCCATCACAAGCTGACTTTCTGGGCTGTTACAAGATGCTTGCAAAGTCTGGCTTACATGGGGAAGGTCTTTTGGCCCTTCGACAAGTAACCTGCTCCCTTCCGTCAGAAATCAGGAGTCTTCTCCTATTGCCAGCATTCTGTGCCTGTGTGCTTGGATGTGTGTGTGTGTGTGTGCGCGCGTGCGTGTGTGTGTGCGCGTGCATGCAAGTCACTTTCTCCCTCTCGCAGACAATAGGCCGACGGGATGACAGTGGCCCTCCTGTTCAGTGTATCCCGGTGGCAGTTGGGGGGTCTTGATAAGGCACTGACATTTCCCCAGCCTTTGTCCACTCTGATAACATCGGGGCTGCAAGCGGGGGCCCCATGCCTGGGAAGGCCTGCCTGTCACTCAGGCCACCGCAGAGGCAGCCAGCCGCCGATGGAGAAGAATAAGGATTGACAAGCCAGTGGGGAGATTAGGAGAAGAAGAATCAAAGCTATTACAGGCTGTCTCAGCCAGCAGCCTTTGTGCCCGCTGATCTTTCAGCCCTTCCTTCCACCGGCTCTCGCGCTTGCTCTTCCTCGCACACAGGACAAAAAACCAGCCACCCTCGGATTAAATTCCAGCAAGCTTGCTTTGAGGGATCTGGACCCGGGCTGGAACAGACCCCGGGGCCGTCAGAATGAATGCCGGAGGGCAGGCCTAAATCCTGCAATCTCTTTTGCGAATTCCTTGGCACGGCCCGGATTCCCAGAAAGCCAGGGGGATCCGAGAGGAAGGCTTCAAAGGTGCAACGGGAGAAGGAAGAGGTGATAGGACTTTTGGCCTTCACTCTGCTACACTACACCCACCCACCCATGCACACACCTACCCCTCCAGATGCAGGACTGGAAAACCTCCAGGAAGAAGAAGAGTTTCCCCCCCCCATTATGACCTGTTATGGGTTTGAGAAAGTGTAGATGAATGCTAAGAAAAGGTGCAAAGGTTGGTGGCGAAGATCTAACAGATCCGTCCACATCTGTGAGCCTTCCAAGTGGGTTGGCTATGGATGGGACCTGGAGCCAGCGAGCCCACGTTCCTCCATGCTGTGGCAGATCTGAGTCTCTTTTATCCAAGACTACAAAGTCCTGCACTGCTGACATGAAGTCCACCCATCCTGAAGTTGCCAAGGTTGAAAATGACTGGTCTACACCAGTGTCTTAACCAGAGTCCTTGGAGTTGGGTGGCTTTTACATTCAAATCAACAAATAAATGTGGGGCGGGGTGATTGAAACTAACCCCTGCCTGCCCCAGTGCAAACTGGTATTTGTGCAATACATTTCACCATAGACCTCGTTGCGAATGGTGGGCCAACCCCGCTGTTGAGAACGGTTGTGGGTCCAAGTGGGGCTGAACGTGCCCCCAAGGACTTTGCTTAGCCTCGGGACCTTGGTGTGGGCTGGAGGCTCAGTGGGCCTGTTTCAACCCCGGGTGCTCCGCCCCTGCGGGGGAGGAGACGTCTTCCTTGTGCCCCTTAGTGTGGCCCAAACCGAGAGAGGGATGGGACAGCGTGCATCGCCTTCCCTCCGTGAAGCAGGATGAACTTTCCAGGCTCCTGTCTTGGGGAAGAAGCCCAGGAGGTGAACCTCAAGGTTTGTAGCAGGAGGAGTTCGAGGAAGGAAGCGTCACCCCGACTTGTCTTTGAAAGCAGAACAAGGAGTAGCAGAGAGGAACTTGAAAAAACTCCTTTATTAGGGAGTTCATTAAGGCAGAGTCTCCTGGAATATTTGCAAGTCTTCCTCCTGTTTCCTTTTTTCTTTTTTCCCAGCCTGGCCTGAGTTCCCATTTATGAAATAAGCTGCTAACGAACTTCCCCCCCTCTCTTGCTGGCTAACGCATAAGGTTCCTCCTGTCCTCACCGCCTCCCCACAATCTCTCCCCCCATTGAGCATCAGCTGTCTGCCCCCAACGCCTGCTCCTCAAAGGGGTTGCAGGGCCAAGCCAGAGAGGTAGTACCTCCATCGGCTCTTTACAAGGACCCAGGGAGGGTGTGGACATGACCGTGGCATATAAGCCATGTGGAACTCATTTGGCCACAAGATAGGGACCATGGTTGTAAATTGAAGCATGGGTAAGGATTCAGCACCATCGGAAGTACACTTGGCGTTCTTTCCTGGAAAGGGCTGGGTAGGAGAACATCAGGGGGCTGAAAAGGTTTGGAGGGGAAATCATCACAATTTTCAATAGCCAACTTTTTTTCACACA